CGCCGCTGCGGGGAGACTGCCCTCGGAGGCAGAAGCCAGCTGCGGAGCGGATGCTGCTGACAGTGATTCAGCATCCTCCCCTGCAGCCACCGGGAGGAGGAGGTCGCGCTAGGGCCGGGGAGGAAGGACAGCAGAAGGGCCCTTTCAGTGACACCCAAGGTAACGGGCTCTAGCCGCAGCCAGAGGTGCCTATAAACCCTCTCCCGCTTCATGCCGATCAGTGATGCCAGGTAGGGGCTTCTACCCATGACGGTGTAAGGTTAGTTCGCCTTTGCTGCTGGGGAGCAGGGCTGGTGAGAGCACCAGCTTGTAGCTTAATGTCTCTCCCACTCTGCTGTCATTTGACTCTCGCAAGTGTTGGAGGGTGACTCAAGTAAAATGCTCCAATGACGGCTCCACTTTCTCTTACTGATAATGATTTAGGGGATCATCTTATTGCTCTCACTGGCACAGGTAATGGTTTCAGGATTGGATGGGGGATGCAGCATATGCTTCCGGTCAATTTAGACTGCTATGAAGAGCTTCATAAATGCAGATGATTTAATAATTTATCTTAGAACATCTACAGATTGTCATATACGATTTCATCTGAAGAACGCTTGATGATCAAGCTCTTTCTGTCTGCTAGCCTCTTGTATTTTTAACATTATCTGGTTTGCAGAATAAAATTTATTCATTACTGATGTGTGTTCTTTGTGTGGGAGGAAGTCCATTTAAAAATAGCTTATGTAAGTTATGTTAGAGTACCCTAACTCCTTCTCTGCAGAAAAGGGCAAGGTTATGGTAGGGTCGCTTCTTGGCAGTAGCCCTTAGTGAATGCTCAAATTTAGAACAAATTAAATGAGGCTATGAAAGATAACTTCTTTATCAGCTTCCTGCTGTTTGATCAACATCTGTTATCTGTAAAGCTTCTTTTTGTAATTCACATTGTCTTAAACTTAATATATATTATTAGATTCCACCAAACTAATGTGAGACTTCTGTGTTTTTGATATGTATTTAAAAAGAAAAACCTAATTTGGATACTAGTTGAAAAACTAGTGCTTCATTTTTTCCCCAACATGAACCTACTATTGATTTTATGACCCTAGACATCAGAGCTTATATTAAATAGAGCAGCACTACATTGGAAAGGCTATATTCACAGTCAGGAGATCAGAATTTGCTTCTGAAGTGAAGGGGGGGAAGCATTGATTCTAGATAATATATCAAAATGTTCAGAATGACTGTACAAGATGTGTTGTGCCCATGTCTAATTTTCAGGGTGAAGGTTTCCTACAGGAATAGAATAGGCTCAAAATAGCACTTCATAGGACAAAGATAGAGGCTTGATTTTTCTCGCAGGATCTCTGCCACATTGCAAACAAAAGTCAGCAAATTTATGTTTGTTACAACAGCATCTGAAAATATTTGCAGAGATAGGACACTTTTAAGACAGTGATGTACTATTAAAATATACCAGAGCAGAAAAATTATTATCAGAAATTGATATAAGATATTTGGATGCTTCTTAAAGAAGTGTATTTTTACCTGAAACTATGGTTTCTCACACTGCTAGCACAGCAGTGTCCTGTTTCAGGATGAGGACTCCTGAGTGCTAAAGTAATACAGATAATAAATAATAAGGACATTGCTAAAAATTGTTGCAGCTACACAATTATTAAAATACATGGTATCTAACATCCCTACTTGTAACTGCTTAAATGGGATCCAGTTGTGCGGTGGGCCCAGCCAGACTGGAGCAGCCCCCCACTTGATGCGGGCCGGGGGCTTCTCCAGCCTGGTTGGGTCCAGTGCACCGTGTTATGGGCTGTGGGTGCTCCAGCCAAGCCGGGCTTGCCATACCATGCTGTTGCTCCAGTCCGGCTGGACTCATCACACCATAGGGTCTTGTTTAAGCAGTTAACCAGAACATTTAACTGGTTAACTGATTAAATGGGATTTTACATCCTATTTTGAATCCTTTGGGTTTATGTTTTCCAGCTTTTCTCTCTAACTCTGAGGTTACGTCTACACTGCAGGCTTCTTGCACAAGAACTTTCTGCGCAAGAGTTTTAGCCATTTTAGAGGTTTCTTGCCTGGCATTGTTTGGCTCCTAACTCAAATACGTTTTTTGTTTTTCTTCATGTAAATAATTGTTCTGGGCAGAGGCTGGGGATGAGGGTTTCGATATGCCGGCTAGCCAGAGCGTAACTCCAGTCCTCTGTACTGGAGCTTGGGCTAGGTAAGAAGCACCTGCCCCTGGCCACTGTAGCTGAAGTGAGCACAGATGAGAAAAGGGTGTGTGTTCCCTGGCTGGGGGATAGACAGACATTGGATCTGGACTTCTAATACTTTTGTCATCTGAAGAAATAGGTTGTGCCCACGAAAGCTCATGATACCATCTACATGTTTTGTTAGTTTTAGGGTGCTACTAGACTGTTTGTTGTTTCTTAAGTTTTTCCTGTTACAGACTAACTCAGCAACCCCTCTGAAGCTTTTACACAGACAAACAGATACACAAATAGATAAACTCTCTGAAACATACAGTAGAGTTGTCCCTTTCCCCATCCCTGCCCCCTCCTGGCTCAGTGGGGTTATAGCTGTCCCAGTCCCCATTTCCAGCCCTTACAACCCCTTCAATGGTCATTCTACAGTATAACTGTCTCTCCTACCAGACCCTTCCCTTTCCATTTTATGAGAAACAATTGAATTCCAGGCACATCCCATTGTCTTGGCACAACCTTGTTTTAAGTTATGATAAGAGGAACCTGCATACCAAATTTAGTGATCCTAGGTCTTACCATTTAGGGGGAGACTCACAGACAGACAGACACATTTCTAAAATATAGTAAGAAGAAGAAATGGCAAGCCACCTGCCAGACAGGTCTCCCCCAGGACACAGGAGCAGCGTGAAGCCCCAGCCTGTGAGTCGCCCACTCCGCAGGTCTGCATGGGACCACCGGTGCCACCAGCTCTCTGCTGCATCTGCTGGCCACTTGTGGGGGAGGTGCCGAGTAAGGATGTTAAAATACAGTTAATTGATTAATTGTCTAGTTGATGGAATTTTAGTTGACTAGTCGATAGGCATTTCCGCATTCCTCCTTTGAAATGTACAAGAGTGGGGGCGGAATGCGGAACTCTGCGTACCGCTCGGGGCCAGCGGGAAGTCTTACTGACTCTGGGATGCACATGGGTGCCTTCTTTGAAATGCACAAGATTCCCTAGCACGAGTCAAAGGGGCAGCTGCCTGGAGTCCGGGGTCAGCTGGGGACTCCCCAGTTGACCCTGGACTCCCCAGGAAATGCCACGGGGAACCTGGGAACAGCTGGGGAGTCCCCAGCTGACTCTGGGCTCCTAGCGGCATGCAGCATAGCATGGAGACCGGGGTCAGTGGGGGGCTTTGAAATGCACAAGAACCCCCGCTGAGTTACCGGGGGTGTGGCTTCCCTTACCCTTAGCATTGAGTTAACCCATTCCGGTTTAGTGCACGGGAGGCTCACCCTGTCACACCATGGTAAGCAGACTTCCAGCTAACTAAAATCATGCTGGGTCATAGATGTTGCTGGACCAGAGATGCCAGACTAGAAGGATTCAACCTGTTTTATAATGATTATTGCAAGGGTACATAATAAAGGTTAACAAATACCCACCAAAATTGAAGTAAGAGTTTAATGATGGTGCTTTGTTAAATATCACTGTCATTAACATGAGGACATGATCACTTTTTATAAAAAGTAAAGTTTGTAAATGGAGTTACTCCAGAAATGGCTTTTAGTATTTAGTAATTACTGTAAAAAGTTGAAGAAAACAGGTGCATAATCATCTTTCTTCTCTCCTTCAAATAATAGAAACTATAGAACCTGGATAACTAAAGAGATTTCTAAAATAGAAGTAATGAAAACTACAGCACCATATTCCATTACCTCTTTCTGTTGCAAACAAGTTTTTTTCTGTAAGTACAGGTTATTAAGTTCCTAAGTGAATGAATTTTAGTCCCTAGTCAGGAAACAGAGGGAGACCTTCAGGTTCCAGTAGTTATTTAAAATAATGGTTTGTTGTTGAATTGATGTACTCTTTAATGTTCTAACCATTGTGTTTGTTGAGCATAATAAACTAAACTGTTGTAAAAATGTGATACTACAAAAAGACTACTTTGAAATTTATTTCTGCAAAATTAGTGTAAAATTGTAATGAAAGCATTTTAAGAAATTAGCATTTTGAAGAGAGAAGACTTTTATCAGATTTAAAATATGATTACAGCAGCAAATTCACCAGTTTTCTTGTTGTGTGCCTCAGAGTACATAATATGCATCTTTTTTATATATATTGTTTAATTTTGCAACTACATAATTATATACAGATGGGCTTTAAATAAGCACAAACTCATCTACATCATACCTTACCGGGTGTGCAATACTTTTTGTCCATAAAGAGATAACTTGCTCCAAATTTCACGTCTTAGTAATTGTACATTAATCCACAATATGAAGAGCCATGACTGTGTGGCAATTAAGTAGTCAAGACAAAATCATTAGAGAAAAAGCATACTTTTTATTGCACTGATTGTTACCTTTTATATTAATTACTCTCATATTTCACTAATTATAATGCTTTTCCTCTTTTTCTCAGTAACTTGTTGAATTCTCACCATAATCTATGAGCTAAATATTATGGTAAAAAATAAATATGAAAGTGCAATTAACACTTTTTGAAAGTAATAATAATTTTTTAATAATTTATAAACTGAACTGCACCAAAGGAGTAGTCCAACTAGTTAAAATGCACATTCCAGCTTTGGTGCTTTTAAGGCTCATGTTCTCTTTGCATTCTGGTGCCTGGGAAGAGAAGTTCAGGTAACTGGGAATGGGACAAGGAAGGGAGGCTCATGGTGTGTGGTAGGAGGCTCCCTTTTTTATCTAGTGGACATCTGAGCAAAAAGTTATCAAGCAACTCCATAATTGTCCCTTTGCACAGTCAGGGAAATCTGTGGAAGGATGGCTAAGTTTGTCAATTTCTACCTCTGGAGACCCTGGCATCCATGCGATGTGTTCATGAATCTTCAGGTTTATTGGGGATTCGAGGCCTTGCCTTTTGGTTGACCTGCAGGGCCTCAAACCCTTCCTTCAAAAAGAGAGCGTGTTGCAGAAACTCCCTGGAATAGGTTGTCACTTTCACTTGTGCAAAGCAGATATAAAACTACCAAATCAGAATTCACCATTCATTTACACCAGTATTGACATTTAGATAC